GGTTCCTGCCCTGAGTTCCTACCTTGGGCTCCCAGATGAACTGTGGCCTGGGATATGTAAGCTAAATAAACCCTTTCCTCCCCAAGTTGGTATTGGTCAGAGTGTTTTGTCACAGCAATGGAGAAACAAACTAAGATACCCACTGAGCCATCTTACTGGCCCAATAGATCCCAATCATTTCTGATAAATCCTGGAAAGGTAATCCCAGCATGGCAGGGGAGCCCAGAGGAGGGGCAGCCTACCTCCTGAGGGTGGGGAACTCTGGAGGGCATCTGGTCTAACTTGCCTGTGCAGGAAGGAGCAGGAATAGCCTAGCAGAGAACTGCTTTCCAGGCAGAGAGGGAGGGGGAGCCAAGGCCCGAGGCAGGAGTGGTGGTGGGGGAATGCTCCACAGAAGCGGCTGTGTTCAGAGGACCTGGAGCAGAGGGAAGGAACTGAGGATTCTGGGAAGCAGAATGTGATCGTGGAGGGCACCTAAACAAAGCAGCCCCCTTCCTCTGCAGGTGCCATGGTCGTTAACAAGCTCCCCTGGCCTTCACATGTGGCAAGTCCAACAAAGAGACAAGACCAGTGGCAACAACCCACAACCCCGGGACGGACAAGAGGGGATTGGTCAGCATGGCGCACTGGCCCTTGGGACAAGCTGGGAGGGAGGCCACCAGGTCCCCATTCCACCTGAGTTCCCACAAGCTGGGGAGGTGGGGGATCTCAGGAGGTGGTAATAAAGTCAGTACTGGAGACACAGGCTGCCCTGGGGCTTCCATTGTAGCTGATGAAGAACCAGACCCAAGTGTCCGGGATTCCCCAGTGGCTGCCACCTGCAGAGCTCCGCCAGGTCTCCACTGCCTCCTGCTAATGAAAGTGTTACTTCACAAAGCAGCAAGGTATGTGTTGCCACTGTTTCAATTATTTATCTGTTTACTTGACTGCAGTTTTCGCTTGTCTCAGCAACTCTATTATAGACGGAGAGCTAGCAGCCTCTCACAGCTCAGCTGGGCTCCAGGCTAACAGCCTGCGACGGGCAGCCTCACGCTTGGGCCTGGAGAAGTGGAATTAACTCCCTGTGGCTCTGAAGGTGGAGGTAGGGGAGGGGGCTGCCAGGGCTGTGGTCAAGGCTGGAGGATGCCGAGAGTGGCTTCCCCAGGCATCTGCCCCTCCCCCTAGCTGGGAGAACGGGACTATTTGAGCTCTTCTGTATCCAGGCAGACTTAGACTTCATCTGTATGGCCTGGGTAGTTTAGAAAACACACATTCGGTGCAACCCAGTCAGCATTCATGGAGCGCCAGCTGTGTGTCACACACAGGCTTTAGAGTGGGAGCTCCTAACGGTAAAGAGGCCTCCATGAGTACCAGGGATGGGTAGAAGGGTGCTAAACATCCATACACTCAGGACTCTAAGGGGATCAGCGGTACTTCCCCAGACTGGTTTCTTCTCACCCCCAGCCAGGCCTATCTGTCTCTCCTCCCCTGTAGAGTTGTCAGACTCAATGCTCTGTCCACTGCCCTCTGATGCTGGTGCCTCCCTGAGTACCTGTGTGGCCTAAAAGCAGGGAGGTCTGGCTTCTTTGCTCATTCTGTAGCAGGGCCCAGCTTCCTGAGCAGAGGATGCGGGAGAGGAGCCAACACCTGGCTCACACAGGACTTCACACTGGAGCTCGCTGAGGAAGTCCACCCACAGCCTGGTTCCAAACCTGATGTCCTAACCCAGTGCATGCTCTGTGAACCCGGGCAGGACTGGCACAGGGCCTTGGGGTGGGAGAGCCTAAGTGGCTTAACTGCTTTTAGGATCAGGACTTACCCCCACTCCTTAGTCTGGCCAGTGGTGGGGCCTTCCCATCCTTTCAGTATTCATTTGTCTCCATAGCCTTCAACTGGGGGACAGTGTGGACATCTGGTATATTCTGGAGACAGCTTTGGTTGTCTCCTGGTAGGGAGTGGGGGTCCTGGCATGTAGCTGACAGAGGCCAGGGAGGCTGACAACCCTTTTAACCCAGAGGACCAAACTTGAAGAACTCCTGGTCAAACTGCTAACTCACTGAGATTGGGCTGGGGAGACAGTTCAGTCCCAGAGCCTATGGAAAAAAATGGGGCATGGCAGCATATGTTTAGAATCCCAGCACTAGAGAGGCAGCACCTGGAGGATCCCTGGGGCTCGATGCCAGTCAGCCTAATGAGTGAGTGCCAGGTACAGTGAAGACCCTGCCTCAAAAAATAAGGCAGACAACACTTGAGGAATGATAGTCAAGGTTGGCCTCTCACCTCCTCATGTACACATACACATACCTGTACATACTTGAACATGTACACACCACATACATATGTGTACCTGTACATACACACCACATACTGAGGTTGACCTTTGGTCTCCACATGTGCACATACGCTTCTGTATACATTTAAATATGTACATACCATGCACACATGTGTACCTGTATACACCTGTATGCCTGCACATACAGGTACATCACATACTAAGGTCAACCTTTGGTCTCTATATGCACACACATACACATGTGTACCTGTACATACACTCCACATGTTAAGGTTCCGCTGGCCTCCACATGCATATATGTACACATGTACCATACATACACAGACATGCTAAGGTTGGTCTCTAGCCTCCACATGCACACACACATCACTCACACATGAGCATGTACATAGACCACGCGTACCTGTACATATATACTAAGTGCTGAGGTTGGCCTCTGGCCGCCACACACACACACACACACACACACACACACATTTGTATACACACAAACATGTACACACACACTTGTACTCTAGTTGCACACACAAGTGCAACTCTAGCTCCTCCTACCTGTGTGACCCCACCGTATCCTGGGAAGAGGGAAGAGTGGGTGATAATGTCAACTTGCAGATGAATCCTTGACTGAGGCCCACCTAGGGCCTGGCATTCCCCAATCACCCTGCCAGCCATCCAAGGTCACCTAGATGCCCTGGGCCTCAGTCCACTCCCAGCTGCAGCATGAGGCAGGGAAGGCATTGGGTTCGAGCACTGGGCTTCCCCGGGTAGAGGCCGTGTGCTCCCTGGCTGCCCTCTGGCTCAGGCCTTGTCTGTCTGCCTTTATCTCCTAAAACTCGCAGTTCTCATAGCCCCAATCTCAAATTTCACTCCATTTTTTTTATTACACAAAAGAGAAAAAAAAATCTGTCAGTAAAACTGTCCCCTCAAATTTATTCACCAGGACTGAAGGTTTTATGACTAGGAAAATACACTCACCCACACGTCCACACCCCCCCACACCCAGATAAAGCCAGGGAGTATTACCCAAGCCGTAAATCCCTGCTGCAGGTGGAGGCACAGGAGAGTCTCAAGGACGAGTCTGCTTTTCTTTGGTTCTATTTACATTTTTAAATTTTTCTTTTCCCCTCTCTTTAGACAATGTCTGGCTACATAGCTCTGGCTGGCCTGGAACTTACTACAGAGCCTAGTCCCGCCTTGAACTGAGTGGTCCTTTTGCCTCCCAAGTGCTGGGATT